CTTCAACTCTCTGCCACCCAGTGGATTCTGACACAGAGTGACTTTATAGGGCAGGGGGGTAGAGCTGCCCCTGAGGGTTTCCCAGGCTCTTCTGTAAAGCCTGGTGACTTCCCACTCTTTAGCGGTCCACTGTGAGCCCCCTGTGCCAGCCACCAGGGCCATTCAAATTCACCACTCTTCCTTCAGGAAAGGTGAGGCCGTCTGCTGCCATCAGGATTCACAGTCTTGGAAACCTCGTGAAGCCTCGTCTTCTCTGTCCTATAGGGTCGCTGTGGATCAGAATCAACTGGATGGGAGTGATTTGGTTGGGCTGGCTTGCAGGAATTATTCTGAGGTTGGCACCGAGCCCTGGTGGCATAATGGGTCATGCACTGGGCTGCTAACCGCAAGGTCAGCAGTTGAAAACCAACAACCACTCCGTGGGCAAATGCCGGGGCTTTCTACTTCTGTAAGAAGTGACAGTCATGGAAACTCACAGGGTCGCTGTGAGTTGGTATCAGTGGCAGGGAGTCATGGTTGGCGCACACGTTTGAGTGCTCAACTACTAACCAAAAGGTCTGTAGTTCAAACTCCTCCAGAGGCACCTCAAAGGAAAGGCGTGGCGATCTGCTTCTGAAAGGTCTTGGAAGCCCTTTGGGACAGTTTTACTCTGCACCTGGTGGGTGGGTGTGGGCGACATAGGTAGGAATCCCTCTACAGCAACTGCTGGGATGGGTGGGGGTTATCATCAGCCTAGAAGGTGGGTTCTAAGCCCTGGTTTTCGGAGGAGGAAGCTGAGGCAGTGAGCAAGAAATCACCTGCCTAAGATCTCCTAGGTGGTCCGTGTGTTACCTGCTGGGTCTCGTGCACTGAAGCGGTTGCCCGTTGATGGCAGGGACCCTGTCTGTCTCGGCACGTGGCACAGCACAATGGAAGTCCTTGTTGAATGAGCGCATGTTGCCCATCGGGCCGAGCCTCCAAAACTGCCCCCTGACAGCCCCTGCACGAGACAGCCACTGTTCCTGGACTGCACCCTGTGTGGTCCCCTCCATGGTTTCCAATCATGCCCCTCTCCAGCAGGAGAAAATCTCTTTGGGGGCTTCGCATGGTGGGCAGCATTCATTCCTCACACTCCCTGCAATCCAGTCCATGCTCACAGCGACCTTATAGGGCAGGGTAGAACCGCCCCTGTGAGTCCAAGACTGTAACTCTTTATGGGAGTAGAGAAGTCCCATCTTTCTCCCTCAGAGGGGCTGGAGGTTTAGAACTGCTGACCTTGAGGTTCCCAGACCAATGAATAACCGCTACAGCACCAGGGCTGCTGCTTCAGTCCTTGGGTGTTATGTGAGATCTGATTGTGGGCTGAAGCCAGGCGTCTTTTCTCACAGGTTAGGAAAGCTCCCACGGAACAGTTTGCCTTTGTCCCTGCGGAGACTCCCTGGTCTGGACCAGTCTAAGAAGTTCCGGGTTGCTTTCCGTTGATTTCACTAGGAGGCCTGGCAAGGGGCCAGCATTCTTGAATCTCTTAGGGCTCTTGGTCCCTTTCCCCCAAGGCTGCTGCCTGCCTTCAAGGATCTGAGCAGAATGTAAAGGTACGCATTTCAGCTTCTGGCCACCTTCCTCCCTCCCCTGCACGGTCATCACCGTGCCAGTGCTTGGCCTCAGGCCTCTTTCTTTCTCAACAGCCAGGCCCATCCAGCCCCCTTCCCTCCAGATTTCAGTCTAGTCACATCATATGATCTTTAGACCACAGGAGGAGGCTTCCAAAATTC